CCGTGCAACCTCTAAAGGCTGCGTCCAAATAGAGTCCATTCTCTAGACCCTATTAGAAATGTCAGCAACCCGCATCCAACTTAGCACCATGCTGCGCGAACAGCAACCATGCATGCAGGTTATTGGATCAATAATCGGTGCCAACTACAGCAAAATGCAGCACTGTACAGCAAAAACTCGGTGGCATATAAGTCAATACCACAACCCGAGGCATCAACACACAGCAACTCCATCAAAATAGTGTGTTTTAGCCAGCATATGGTGAGATACGGCTAAGTGCGACGGCCTGGCAGTCCCAGACTGCAGCCGCATAAAAAATCAGATAGCTGGAGGCTGTTCAGAAAACAGAAATGCACTGATATTGCACTTGACGAAGAGCAATAACTCTGAACCCAAAGGTCAGTGAGAGCACACCCCTAGTCACCACTAACATATGTACCCCAAGCCTTTCCTTCTTCTTGGTGCTCAGCGCTCAGCTCGCTACTTCACATCTACCAGCAGCCTACGAAGTGGCACTGCATCCCGTTGTCATCAACAGCAATAGCCGAAGCGCATGAAAATGCTGATCTTGTAGGCCATCGCCAATACCAGGTACGTGCTCTCACCCCACCCCCTTTTCCTTGCAGCTTCCACTTGCAGACATGTCCCTCGCTGTTCGTGTGGCCAGCTTCGATTGACCCCAGCGGCAAATAGTCGATGAGGGAGGGTTGTGGCTGGGCTGAACAGCAACACGCGAGCAGGGCAGCGGCGGAGCACATACGAGGACGTTCACCCATCAAACGTGGAATAAAGCAGCACATGACCTACTCACATCACGGTTGAACCCCGCAAACTGTTGGTTCCCACCACCCACTGAGCCAGGGAGTCACTCCAACAACCATTCGTTATCACCTCCAGGCAACATAGACATTCCGGACCGAGCGGCCTCCGTCTCGATATGCCTGGTCCGCAACAGCACCGGGCTCGTTCTGTCTCACAACGTACACAGGTAAGTGCCGCCTTGCATTTCGTCGTCGCAGGAGCCTCAACATGCCTACCTCTTCGTAAACTTAACTCGACTTGATTAGGTAAGTTTGTCTTACATCCATCAATAAAGTGAGAATAAAAATCGGAATGAACCTTCCCCTGGATGCGGACAGGTTCATTCCATTTTCTTGCAATAACGAACTACTCCCTTGGCACAGTCTATGCTCGTCGCAGCACAAACTCTACAACCTTTCTCCCAAATCTAACTTCACGAGCGGATTCGCCCTGTCTAAAAAAGCTACTCTAAGATCTTCTCCTACTCAATCCCGTCATGGATTGAGTGAGGTAAGCATCTTCACATCCTATTCCTCCCTCCTCTCCGCCATAGCTTGGCTCACTGACTTTCTTTACGAACCCCCGTTTTACTAGTCGAACACTAAAAACTGACCTTGTATTCGAGGTCGCCCACGCTCGAAACCCCTGATTAGGATCTTGCCTTGTCCGAATCCATTGAGAATTGGGCGAGGTACCCCTCCTTCTCCTTCTTCTTTTCTCAGTCGGTCATATCTCCGCGCGTCAGCTTTCTTACCGTCCTCTATTTCTACTAATCTATCACCTAGACTAACACTAACATCGGGCTCGCCCTAGCAATAAACCCCTAAAATGACTCTTCGTTCACCCGTTGTCATCAAGAAACGGGTGAGTTAAGCAATTTTTAGTTCTACCATAGTCACAATCTTCTCACATTCGACTGCGGATGCACCTGGCGCAGATGCCTGTCCCTGTTCACTCCTTTTTCCTCGACTCCCGTCGACCTCACCTTCTCTTCTAACGCTCCGCTCCTCTGTGCTAACTCTCTTCCCCGTCTAGCTCTTTACACCTCCTCCCCCGCAGCGTTCCGAGTTGCCTTCCCCTTCGCGCTGCGCTTTTTCTGCTCCTATCCATTTCCCTCTTCCCCGTCTAGCTCTTTCCGCCCGTCTCAGCTTTCCCGGCTGCCTATTCCGATCAGCGCCTCCTGGCGCTCGGTACGTCTGCACTCCCATCGCTTGAGGCACCCCAGCGGAGACCAGCTACTAGGCAGTCCAAACTAGTCCTGTAGGCTAAGTCCGATAGTCGAATTGCGCAACAGTATTACTACGAGCGTCCCCACAACACCTCCAACCCGCTTTGCTCAGGGGAACCCACCACGACCTCAAGTCCTTAACGAACAAGCTCCCATACAGACGGCCGATCGTGGGGCTGAGGGCACGACCCTGCTGCAAACCCCTAAGCACGGGCCTAGGAGGGCCGCGCCCGGTGCCCATTTGTCCCGCAGTGGCCGACGCGCAGTCTTCACCCTCCGGGCCCGGACAAAACGCTCGCATTCATTTCTCTTACGGCAAATCATGGTCGATGGTCGTCCATTTGCAGTCCCTTGTCCTCCTTGCTGCCACAACTCCACAGGCTCTCTCGGAATGTCCTCCAAGTCCTTTCTGCCTTCGGCTATCGACGCTCCCCAAGTAGGACGCGAGGGAAGCCACGACCACGAGCTTCACGCACGTTGACCTCCTTGGTCGTGTTCCGGGACGGGTAGGGCACCATAATTTTACCAACACTCCGAACGTGCAGAAACCGGACGGGCCCATCAAAAGAGGAGCGTACTCAAAGGTTCCCGACTGCCGTGACGACCATTAAGTCCGGCGTTACGTCTGGGTCAACGGCACGCCGAAGTATAATAAGGAAAATAATAGAAGTACGACGCTTAAAAAAAAGGATTACTTAGAACGTGCCACGAACTGACGCCTAAATAAACGGACACCGCGCGACGCGCGGGCCTACTGAAAACACTTCAAAGCCTCTCGTTGTCGATCTCGTTCTCCGCACGTACGCACAGGTCACAAATAAACACGCCAATTAGGAGACAAAATTCGTTTAATCCCAACTTAATCAGTAAATAAAAATCAGGTCGACGATCACGCCGGTTCTTCAATCATCAACAATTAAAAGATCACGCGCGCCTCAAACATGTGCGCCCACACACTCCCTATTTTAGTCAATCGTTCAACCAACGTAATCTGCAGACGCAGCCGCGCCTCGCGCGATATACTTAAACTTTGATCAAAACCTTGTTTTCTGTTGCTTGCGAAAACTAGGGCGAATACCCTTGTAAGGGTATTCGCCCCGACAGCGAACCCGAACGCCCGAATGTATGGGACCCCTTGGGGATGCGTTCGGCCTTTCGGGCCGAACGCGGACAAAAAAAAAATAAAAAAATAAAAAAAATCAACAAAACTGAAAAATAGATATGTTCTGAAGAAAATTAAATTAAGCAAGATTTGCCTGAGCATTACATCCAAATTCCTTACCAAATTTGAAATAAAAATAAAATACGAAAAATAAATACTAATAAAAAAAAAAAAAAAAAAATTTAGCGARTGCGCRARMATKTTTTMRAMACCAMAAWMTTTKGARTTTTTTTTTTTTTTTTTGGCATAGCTAAATACCCTGAAAATTTACAGATGTGTACTGCATTATGGCATAGCTAAATGCCCTGAAAATTTACAGATGTGTACTTCACATAATGCAAAACCCACTAAAAAAGTTTCAAAAAATAATCAAATTGTTTAGATCCTAAACTAAACTGAAAACAAAAAGTAAAAAGTGAAAACAAACGTGGGCGAGCACGTTTTGAGACCACCATCTTTGGCGATTTTTAATTCTTATTTGGCTGAGCCAAATGACTTGAAGTTATTTTTAGGCCCCGAAATAATTTTTGGCGGGGGCCAAACGCTGTCAAGTTCGGACCCCGTATGAGACTCTAAACGCCCATACGTACGGAGGTCTGCCCGGGGACCTCCGTACATACGGGCTGGTGACCCTGCATACAGGGTTGCCAGGCTGAATGCACGGAGGCCCCTAAGCTGACCCTCGAACGGTTGGGCGTTCGGGTCCCCGTATGGGGCCCGAACCTGCTCACGCTGAAACGCGAATTGAGGAGGCAAGACTACCCGACTGTGCTCTTTGACGGAACTCTCTAGAAGTCCGTAAGGAAGCAGGCCCCTGATTGGGCGCAGATGGCAAAAAGAATTACATGGGATATATAGGCTCAGTGGGGGAGTTAGTACGTAAGCCTATGATAGGCCCAAGACTTTTTTCGGAGCATCGGCTGGTACCGGTAGCAGATAGTCAGTAGTGAATTACGGGTCCAGTTAAGGGTAATGATGAGTTGGTAGTCTTTGTTTTTAGTAGGAGCTTTGGTGGATTGTTTTCTTTCTTTTTTCAGTTCCTTTTTCAGTGTCGCTCGGACTATAAGAACCGGGGGTACGTAATGATAGGTCTCTCAGTTCGAGATGCCCCCCTGATGAGGCTGGATCTGGCTCCAGCCGAAACGCGTTGGGGAAAGTCAGATGCGCCGACGAAAGTCGCGCATGCTGTACCTGTGCTCATCGTCAATTTCTACACACATTTGCGTTTCATTTTGAATTGGTCATCTATCTGAGTTTGCTTTTGTAAACTATCGCGCTGCATGAAATCTTGTGTGTCATGCATCGTCATCTAATCAACTTGAAGTGAGCATTGCAACCAACCAAGGGACGTTACTTGGAAGCTGGTGGCAGTGAGCAACGATTCTACGAAGCTAGGTACGACAAGGGAGAAGTAAGGCAGCTGATAAAGGGTCTGCTTATCAAGAATTGGTGAGCGAGGGGACAACAGCTAATGCGGCGGGAACGTTGTGTACGAAATTCAAAATCCAAGCGTCGTGGTTGTAGCATCCGGGGTCGTGACGTAGGTAATCGAAGATGGGAAGCTGAGGGTTTGACTCGAGAGGTAGGAGGGATAGGTATGGCGGTTATGATGCAGGTGGTTGGAACAACGGCGGGGATGATAGACGGGACAGAGGTAGGGAGGAGTATAGAGAGCGCCGAGCAAGTGACAGAAGAGGAGGTTCGACTGACAGTTACGAAAGAAGGGGATATGGTGAAACAGGAGCAAGGCAAGTGAGGTGCTATGAATGCAACGAGGTCGGGCATTACAAAAGCCAATGCTCGCGGCTGAAAGGACGACAAGGAAGTGGTGCGCAGAGAGGAACGGTTGCTTTGAGCAAAGAATTGGAGGATTCACTGAGTGCTGTCGAAAGAATGGCAAAGCAGCTATTGGAGAAACAGAAGGAGGTGGAAGACGCTAGAAGGGAGGCGGAAGAAAAAATGAAGAAGGGGGCAGAAGAGAAAGCAGCGAGAGAAGAGGCTGCTAGGGTCGAGTTGGAGAAGAAGAAGGCCAAGGAAGAGAAAATCCAGAAGAGGAGTTGGGAATTGAAGAAGTTGTTGGCCGAGCAGAGGGAGATGTATGAAACAAAGCTGGAGAAAATTGTGAGGAGAGGCATTAAAGGAGTGAATATTGGGAAAAAGGAGACAGCAGCAGCTGCGCAAGTACAATCCAGCTCAGAAGACGAAGACGAGGAAGCGGTCTTGACACCGTTAGTCGACAAGCGGAAGAGGCGCGATTCTACAGAAAATGTCGAGAATAGCCCACCAGCGGAAACTCCATCCAAGCTCGGGAAGAAAGAAGATACGAGTACGCCGACTAGCTCAAAGAGAAAGGGCAGGGGCAGGCCAACGAAAGCAGAGGCGCAGGCAAACAGGATGGCGCGCGGTGATGACCCGTGGGAAGGCGTTCCTACGGGAGACAAGTTCGTAACGGAGTCTGCATTCAGGAAAGCGGTCCAGAAGACCCTAGGATCATTGTACCCGGAAACGCTACAGCTAATGTGTAAGGGAGCTATGAATCCCCCTCGGCGGCGGACAGGCGCGGCCAAGTCCGAGTCCGCGATCCCGCGCACTTGTCCGCGTGGACGCGCGTCTTCGCGGACGCGTGGCGGCCGTTGGGGAAGGGGGTTTGGGAAACGGGAAGCGCCACGTGGCGGCGCAACCCCAGCCCCACCACATCAGGCAAAAAAAAACGAAAAAAATCTAATTTTTGGCTGGGGGG